CTTAGCAAATAGCACTGCTTCAGGCTACCTAGACACCATAGACAAGGAACTCCAAAGAGTGAACTTGGATTGGAGACATGGAAAATGTTTAGTTGGCCTGGCAACTGTTGTAGCACCTTCAACCATAGTGGGTGTTAATGGTTTGGCAACTAAAATTACTAATTGTGCAAATCATATCACAACTGTTCATTGTGTTGCACACTAACTTCAGTTAAGTGTACTAAAGTCACCTAAAGGAGTATCATATATTGATGAAATTGACAATTACCTAATTTCTGTGTACAAATTCTACAACAGGTCCAGTAAAAAGCAAAAGCAGTTGCCAGAAACAGTAGACGCTCTGTCAACAACACTGCTGAAATTGCAGAAATTGCATACAGTACGTTGGATAGTCAGCAAAGTGGGGACCATCAAAGCTGTCATTCAAGACTGGAGATCTCTTGTGACACACCTTGAAAATGTGAGCTGTGGGAAGCAGAGCAACAGCAACAAAGCTAAAGGCATTCTGAAGACCCTTAAGAAGTACAAATTCTTAAGAACCTTGCATTTTCTCCATTATTTTTGTTGCCTTTGAAAAAACTTTCTTTGATTTTTCAGAAGCCTGATCTGCTAATAAATCAAGCGCAGATTCATATCAAGAAAACAATAGCCAGTCTTGAAGAACTGAAAAAAAAACCTCCAGGACCTATAGAGAATGTATTTATAAATAATACTTCAGTGGACTGGGATGTACAATGGAATCCAGCTTGATGAAATTACAAATGGACAAAAATGTTCGAATGTGATAGAAGAGAAATTATTGAGATGGGAATGGCTGACATAAAGATGCTCTTTTTGAACACTGCTACAGATGGCATATTAACATCTATGTCAATATTTGATACTTTCACATGGCCAGAAACGTCCTTGGAAAGTTTTGGTAAAAAGGAAGTAATCATACTTGTATCTCATTACAAAGACTCTCTGCAACACAAGGGCAAAGACGACATAATTCAGAAATCCCTGGATGAATGGTATGAATTCAAAATATGTGCAAAAGGTCTGTCATCAGTGGATTTACTGTGAAAGGCAATGAACCACCATGGGGGTAGGTTTCCTGTTCTTCTGAAGCTCCATAAAACTGCCTCTGTTCTACCAGTTTTTACAGTTAGCTGTGAAAGGGGTTTCAGCCAGATGAATCTGATCAAAAATAAATTCAGATCATGTTTAGAGACTGAAAGCTTATATGACTTTATGATGCCAAATCTAAATGGATCACCATTACCACAGTTTAACCCTACTAAAGCCATCAATAAATGGTACTTCCGTGCTAAAACTGCCAGGCATGTTCAAGGACACAAGTGTAACATCTCTGATAGCAGTGCATTTTCTACTAAGAAGACATAGGTGAATACTGTGTACGTGATGCAATTTATTTTGGGTTCATATGCATTGTTATGTAGAAATAAAAGTGAACAAGTGCCTAGTTTAAATTTGTTAACATAAATTGCAAGGCTATAGTCCGGTCATGCTGACTAGTGAAATTTTTGACTGATTGGTGAGACATTCTAACATTTTTCAAGCCCTATTTTAAAGCTCTATATTAAACCAAAAACAAATTAATATTTTCAAGTAGTATTTTTAATCTAAACAACTACAAGCAGTTTTGCTATAATCTCCTCAAAATTAATAGTGGATTATTTAGCTCTGTTCACAGAAGACTCTTCAGTCTAGCAGATAGTTCTTATAATGGAAACTGATGAAGTAATTTACTTGATCACCTATTTCCTCTGCAGCTGCCTGTACCTCGCAACTGCTGGAGGCGGGGGATTTCGTTGCTTCAAAAGGCTATAGTGCACAAATGTTTAGGAGAAAGAAGGAATTGTTAAGCCTTGAAATTTTGAGCTAATTTCTAACTTGGTTAGTAGGGATATATGGTCCTTATTATAAATTACTGTACTCTAGAGGAAAAATTTATTTCTGAATTTTAATGATTACCTAGCACTAGAATGCATTATCTAATTTGTGCAGTGACAGAATACCACTTTGTTTTTGCCTTTGTTTCATGATCTTTAAAAATGGCTTTTTCATAACTATCAAATGCAAAGATCTTTAAATGCTGATACCATACTGACCCAAAACAACAAAGATCCTTCGTATAACTTAAAAGATTAATATGTTGCTTTGTGTGCAGCTTTTTTAATACTGTTGAAATGGTAGTGGACAGTTACAATTCTTCACATCTAAGAGATGTGGCAAATGTCACCTATTTACTTTGGTACCAAAAAGGCAGAACAAGGGGAGGGGGAAGCCAGCAGAATAGAAACTGATGTTTTGATATAAAAATCCTAATTAAAACAGAGTAAAAGATTACTTTATATCGACTCCAGTTGCATAAATTTAGGAAAATAGAAGCTAAGACCAACATCCTAACAGGTATGTCCCATGATTAGGAATTATTGCTTATAATTTGCACTCCAAACACCCACACTTCATCTTTTAGGCCTATAACCAGATGGAGAAGGCAGAGTCTCTGTTCAGGACCAATAAGGGTATCATACCTTGTGCTGATGTAGTACTGCATTATCTGAGTCTCACCAGCTTTGTGAAGTTTGATTCAGTATGTGGCAGTCTTAACCCTAGTCTAAAACCAGATTTGTTTTTGATAATTGAATATTGAATTAGCTGAACTACAGAAAGGTAAGAACAACATGAATAGGGAAGTATCTACAAAATCCAATTACAGTAATTTGACTGCATAAACTAATATAACTGTATTATTAATAGACGAAGACAGATATTATTTCCTCCCAAGAAACAGACAGAAGTCTTCATCAAAATCTAGGAAGCAACTGTCTCGTTAGCTAGAAGTAGTTCATTTTTATATATTTCTAAATATGTGCTCTTTACTGTTAAAAACAAAATCCTGAATAATTCAATTATTTACTTTCAATATCTAATTAAAAGCAATCACAATCTTGAATGATCCAGTAAATAATTGCATTTGTTATTTTTTAGCCTTGCTCTTCCACCCACAGTCCCCAATAATCCTTTAAATCACAATGTTTATCATTTGAGGTAGTTTGTCTTACACTGACAAAGGAACATTCTAAGCTATCACTGAAATAAGATACAGGAGGACCTTGAGATTTTTTAAATGTGTATTTCCAACTCATGAATGGGAACGACACCATATTAAAATTATTAACATTAAAGTTTTAATGTCAAGGTTTATTTTCCTCCTGTAAAAACACAGTGTGACTGGCCCCTACCCAGACATCACTTTTTAAAATAACCTTCCTTTGAAGGACTTGACTCCCACCATTAACCATACTAGACCAAGCAGTTAAAGAATGAAAAATGATATTCTCTTTATTACAAAGTAACAACTTCTAGGGAAACAAATTTCAACAGGAGCTTTTCTTCAGTTATAGCCGAACTGCCCCAAAACAACCTCCTTCTTCAGTTACATTCTTTCTTCTCCTTCTATTTCGGCTCGCCAGGCCCCTCCTCCTTCAGGCTCAGCCTGGCCACCTGCACCCTCCAGCCAATCACCTTATTTCCTCTGTTACAATGCAGAGTGGCCAGGGTCCCATCATACATCGCAATTTCCATTATCATTTAAAAATAAATGTTAAAGCACTATAACTAGCCTTTAATAGTCTAAGACTGGGAAAGCTGGGTTTAATCTCGTCTAGAACAACTAAACTGTCTTTTAAAGTAAAAATAAGTCCTCAAACAATTGTCTTCACCTTTGGGAATTCTTTCGTTTCCTCTACATTTTCTTCCTTTTTAATGTATTTTTAATTGGGTTTATTTACAGCTGTAATATATTTCTATTCTGTTCATACAAAAAAGCACCACAAAGAGCCACATATTGTTAGCAACGTCTTGGTCAATACAGCCAGAATCTTATCTGTCAGTTACACCAGGATAAATCCAATTTGTCACTCGTATCCTTTGTCACACACCAATTCATACAACTTTCCTGTCATGAAGGAGACAAGCGGTGACTTGCTAACTAGCAGCAATTTGCTACTGCAGCTACAAGAGAATTCTAGCCATTAAATCTCTGATTACTTCTGAGGAAGTAATATACTTCTGTGCTTCATAAAGGCATTATTTGCATATATGTAATAGTTTGACAGCTGGAGAGATTTCATGCAAAGAGTACCCACACGATTCATACTAAGGAAGTCTTAAGTTACTGAACATTAGTAAAGCCTCTAAGACCCTGAAAATGTCAATGGGACCTTTTCTGTATTCTTTCATTAATTCCTCAAACTGCTAAATATTAAATGTAGATTTTGCCTTGCTGCTTTTAAAAACTGGTATTTTTTTATTTTTTATTTATTTTATTTATTTATTGGATTTTTACCCCGCCCCTCTAGACCATGTTAATTAAATGGTGCAGGAGGGCTCTGTTGGCAAATCTCTGTTCCTTGGATTTTCCAAAACAAACAATTCACTCTCTTCTTCCAGAAAAAGAAGATGACAAACAGGTGCCACAAGAACAGCCTTGGCCCCTGCATTTTGACTTCTCTGGGCTTTATGTGAGGGCATGAATGCACATGCATACAGTATGACTACACCCTCAAAATGGAAAAGCAAGATTTCATACAATTATATATTTTTATGCAAAAAACCCATATTTATTGAACAAAATTAAACAAAAGCCTCCAGGGAATGCGAATAAATTGGATTCTTTTTTCATTACACACACTATCTCATTATGAATCCCATGATAAGAGAACATGGGAAAAATGATGAAAATCTCAATGTACTCAGTTGGAACATGGGGTCAACATAAACTGATTAATATGTAACGTTTACTTACATTGCACTGATACAATAGATACAGGCATGACAGATTGACTGAAAGCAACATCAAAAAATAATACTACGTTAACTTCTGAAAAGCATGGGATATTTACTGATAATCCAACCTAAAACTCAGTCAAATTCTCCCTTGGGAGGATTCCTAAGAATTCTTACTTTCCTTATGAGAATAAAAACCATACCCTTATCCTGATCCACTGATTCTTGGGAAAGAATACTGCGAAGAATTGGATTCTTCCATGTCCCGTTATCTTGGCCAAGAAGAAATAAAAAACTTAACTGGCAGCTTCCATTTTGCATCAACTTTTTGTGTACCATCTGGAAAAGAATATGAAAACATTCTAGCAAATATGTTTATGATAATTTGCATAATATGACGCCGAAACAAAGTGTGCACTTTTTGACACGTGGATCTGATACAGGTTAAAAATTAATTAATTTAATCAGATATCTGGAATTATTTAGTGGTGTTGAAATGCTACTGGGTGTCATTAGAGTACTAGAAGCTGACAGTCTGGCATTCACAGATATCTAAAAGCTTGTCTTATTACTGACTTTATTTGTTTCTTTTATCTTAATAATAATCTGACAATATGGCTAAACCACCCTGATTGATTATCTATAGTGACTTACAAGACTACTTGATTAGGAATATAAATATTTGCACATTAGTGATTTAAAAAAATGTTTTCTATTATCACCGTATTTAAATTATATTAAGATTGGTAAAAAAAATGCAGACTGTATGATTATAATTTGTCCAAACATAGCAAAAGTCAATGTTGATTCAAAATACAAAACATCTTATCTCTTCCTGGGGGTGCTTCACATGTTAATCACCTTCTTTTCTTTGATGCGTAGCTGTATCAGAAAAATTTACTGGAACACAAATACAACCCTATTCTAGAACTAGTATTCTAGCTATGGCATAGGTGAGCAACATACAGTTCTAAAGATACTGTTAGATTACAACATCCATCAACCCAAGCCAATGTACCCAATAATAAGGAATGCTGGGAGGTGCTAGCCACATCAGAAAGCTGCAATTTGCACATCCCTGAGCTATAGAATGATAGTATTCAAAGAAAGGAATGAAATAGGGATGTTTCTCAACCAAACCTGGCTGAATAAAAGTGCAAAGGAATTAGGACAGGAAAAGTGTAAGCAGAAACAGAGAAATCAGAAGTAACGGCTATTAAGCTGAGCCAAAATGTGTACACGTAGGACTGAAACATTTATCATCTGTTTTAGAATTTACTTAACAAGGCTAAGATTTCATCAAAAGCAATCTATCACTATTACAGATTCTTTCTAGACATGTTCTGACACTACCGCTAGGGAATCTCCAGCATACATCAGTCATACAAATACAGAGGAACTACCACACAACAGAAAACACTGCACATTTAAGGACAAGGTTTCATATACAGTGGTGCCTCGCATAACGAGCGCACCGTTTAATGACGAATCCGGACAGCGATCTATTTTTTGCGATTGCTAATGCGCCCGCATTGCAATGTTTTTAGAACAGCTGATCGGCGGCTCCAAAATGGCCGCCGGGTGCCCAAAATGGCCGCCGTAAGCATTTTCGCGTGGTTTCCTCGCTTACCGAGGCGGCGAAAATGGTGGCGCTCTGGAGGATCTTTGCTGAATTGTGAGTTTTCGCCTCAAAGGAACACATTAAACAAAGTTTAATGCGTTCCTATGGGGTTTTTAGTTCCGTTTAGCAATGTTTCCGGATAGCGACGATTAATCCGGAACGGATTAACGTCGCTATGCGGGGCACCACTGTATATATATTTGTGTCACTTAAGCTTAACTTTGAGCACAAATGTGTAAGATGGCTATAAAACTGAAACAAGACACCCACCTGAATAAAGGACTGGATCTCCTTCCATTTGTTTTCTGACAATTCAAGAGGCAGGCAGAGCAGGAGTTCAACATAGCTTCTGGAAAAAAAAACAAGATTGCAAAGTCAAAAGCAGAGTGAGTCTCTTACTCAATTTTCAGAAAAGCTGTTCACAACAATTCTTAAGTATCAAGCAGCTTTAAACAAAAATCAAATGGATGTTAACACTCATAAAAATATACTCACAGGGCTAAGCGTTCAAGCACAAGTACTACATTTTCACACTCAGAGGCAAGGTAAGGTTGTGCTTTAATGTAACTGTGTATAGCCTCTGTGTATACTTCCAGCAAAGGCAAGGGATCATCAGATGCCTTCCACTTTTCTGCATACTCAAGAAGCGTCTGTTTAGTAAAAAGAAATATAATTACCAAAGTTAAACAAGACTGAATTTGTTTATCCAGTTAATTCACATATATGAAATGTAGCAATTACAGTGGTGTCTTGACTTGAGAACTTAATCCGTATTGGAAGGCGGTTCTCAAGTCAGAAAGTTCTCAGGTCAAATCTGCATTTCCCATAGGAATGCATTGAAAACCGTTTGATCCGTATCTGCTCTTTTCCGTCCTTAGAAACTAATGGGAAGCTGCTATTCCGCCTTCGACCACTAGAGGGGGATATTTTGTTTCTTTTTTTCTTAGGTCAAGAAAGGTTCAGGGAAGGCAGGGAAAATACAGTCCAGGCAGTTCAGTACCAGGCAGTCCGAAGACTGTCTCCCAATCCATTCTCTAAACGCTGGGGGGAGTGAGGAAGCAGACAGGCACCATTTTCACTGGCCAACAGTTAACTGAAAGTTCAAATTTTGCACTTTCCCTGCCTCCCGCGTGGTTTTTTTTCAGTTTGTAACTCAAATCTAAGTATGTAAGTCAAGTCAACATTTTCCTATGAGAGTGGTTTGTAAGTCAAAATGTTCTTAACTCGGGCCGTTCTTAAGTCAAGACCCCACTGTAACTGATTTCTGAGCATGCTACATCTACAATTCTTGGAACCTATCTCATGCATAGGACTTCTTTCCTTCACAGTCTTAACAAAGAGTTTAGACAGGTATCTGTAGATGGAACACTTAGCTGCTTTCAATTCTAATCCATAATTGCAATGTACTGACACAAGCCAAGCAAATAACACCTGCACACGTGGGGCTGGAAAACCACACAATGCAGCTGGTATGTAACAATAATCAATATAACTATGATTATTTAAAATAGTCAGATTAACCTGCTGAAACAAATTTATGCGAACAAATGAAATCTGTTACATTCACGGCACTTTCACGAAACTTATAAAATTACAAGTTGAAATGAAATCCAAGGACAAATTATCTGGCAGCTATTATACTCCTATAAAGAAAACAACCATTAAATTAACAATCATAATATAAATCACAAATGCAGAAGTTGGTGAATACTAATGTAATGTACATTTCTGCAATAAACTTTTAAAAATAAAGCACAGAATTGTGATAAAAGTACTGTGCAGAATGTACATTTGGTAAATACATTAAACAAATAAATCATTTTTGAAACTGAAAGGAACTGTACATTCAGATCTTAGCTTTGAGACAGGAATTCTTTGTTGGAGGAATTGAACAAAATCATAGTAGAAGGAATAGCTCGTTACATACATGCTATTCCAGAGGTGAGATGACTAATTTAACATCTCTCTTCCCTAAGATGCCTAGAAAGGTCAGGAGAACAGTCTGGCCCTCTGATCAATAGGTTTTTCTTCCATATGAGCCTGCCCGTCCTCTAAGATCAGGCCAGGAGGCCCTTCTGAAGGTGCCATCCCTGAAAGAGGGGAGGGGGATGGCATGTCGAAATAGGGCCTTCTCGGCTGTTGCCCCCCAACTTTGGAATGCCCTCCCTAGAGAGATCCGCCTGGCTCCGACACTCTTGGCCTTCCGGCGCCAGGCAAAGACCTTTCTGTTCAGCCAGCATTTTAATTAAACAATATCCCCTAGCTGGCCATATGAGCAGCAGGACTTATTAATATTAATTTTAATGTTTTAAGAATTATTTTAATATATGCTATTTTATATTGTCTTTTAAAATGTTTTTAATGTTTTTAAGTTTTAATGCTGTACGCCGCCCAGAAGCCACTGGCAATGGTGCGGCTAAAAATATTGTAAATAAATAATAAATAAATAAATCTGGCAGTGACTGGGCAAGGATCTCATTTGGATTGCTACAGAGTTATCCTCCTGGAACAGGCAGAAGGGTGAGCAACAAGAATTCCTCTTTCAGCTGCTGTTGAAGAAACTTGTCTATTTTTGCACAAGACAAGCATATAAAAGAGAACTGGGGTGCTTCGATGCTATTTAGAAATAAGGGAGGCTTTCATTTACTTATTTGTATGTTGTCAAGCTTCTACCTGACTCTGGGAGGTATGACTTTGAGATACATGTTTGTTTGTTTGTTTTTAAATAAGCAGGCTTAGGCTTTGGCAGAGCCTGTAAATAAATCTATTTGTGAACTCAACAGGTCATTCAGCGGACTCAAAGGCAACAGATTAAAATATCCTATGTTATAGCATATACTATCTAATCTTTGCTGGTTTTTAAGATTTTCAAGGCACTGATTACATGCCTAACATCGATCATCCTATTTAATAAACAAAAAACCTTTCATAATTATGGAGTGCCACATGCGCTGAATAATTCCCAGTGAATTATATAGCCGTGTCCCACTTAACAATTACCCCGCATTACAATGAATCCGCTTCACGATGGTGTTTTTGACGATGGTCTAAATGGGGTTTTTTTGCTTTGCTAAGATTGGTTCCCCGCTTCGGGAACCAATTCTTCGCATTACAACGATCAAAACAGCTGGTCGTAGGGTTTTCAAAATGGCCACCGGCTGCTCAAAATGGCTCCCCGCTGTGCTTAGGGACGGATTCCTTGCTATACAGGCACAGCAAATGGCCGCAGTATGGAGGAGCATCACTGGACGGTGAGTTTTTAGCCCATGGGAATGCATTAACCGGGTTTTAACGCGTTTCAATAGGTTTTTTAATTTCGCTTTACGACGTTTTCGCTCTACAGCGATTTCACTGGAACGAATTAACATCGTTAAGTGAGGCACCACTGTACACAAATTACTTTAAAGAACGCAGGCTATATAAGAATGACATTCCAGACTGCTAAACTTTACATCTGCTCTATCAAAGTACAGGTAAATGTCAACAAGAACATGGCAGCTTGGTCTGTCCACTTAAAACTTAACAGTAAGTTGTGTATAATTAATACTGTACTGTACCATCCTCCACCAATGGAACTTGTTCTAATTCCAGATGGTAATTCTGGTAATTCTAATTCTAATTCCAGGTGGTAAACTTGATACCATACCAGAATTAAGACTTGTTAATGCAGGAATAATATGTTTCATGACAAATCACGCATTCAACTGGACTGTTTATACTAGTCGTCCCCAACCTTTTCCCAACCGTGGATCGGTTGGGGGGCGGTGTCCGTGCATGCAGGGATGTGGCATGCTCACAGGAGCGTGTTGCACTCTCGGGGGCGTGTTGTTCATGCACATGGGGTGCACTTGCGGGGAGGGGCGCTCACAGGGGGAGCAGGAGATCTGTGTCCATAGTCTGGTCCTGCCTAGGCCACGGACCAGTGCTGGGTCGCAGACCAGGTGTTGGGGACCCTGGTTTATACACTCCGGCCAAACCATAATATTTTGTCTTTTGCCCAACCAGTATAGTCACCTAGTTCTACAGAACTGTAGTTTCACTGCGGAAAGCAACCACTATGAATTCTTTTACAGACCACAAGGAATAGGGATAATAGGTAGGGTACTCAATCCTATACTGTGAAAAGAAAATTCAGAGCAGTTATCATATCTACACATGTCCCAAGCAGCAATGCAGACACGCACACAAAAAAATACTGCTTAATTTTTCCATGAATAATTTTCCACTTCTGAAAAACCTCATTGTGATGGACAGGTCAGTAACCACTCCTGTCCATCATAATGGAACCTTGATATATCAACCAATGGTTGAACAGAAGAGGCGGAACAAAGGAAATATAAAAGGAATGGAAGACAGTTAAAGATCAGTTAGGGATGAGTTAGGGTTAGAAGTTAGAGTTAGGAACTTCAGTTAGGGATATCAGTTAGAGAGAAGCAGTTTAGGCAGTTAGGACCAGCCTTGTGTTAGAGAATGGTAATAGAGATACAGAATAAGACAAGGAAAGTACAAATCTTGTATGGTTTATGGTTATAATTGAAAAGATTTAGAAGTGAAAAGAAATGAATAAATACCTTGATTAAAATGATTCTACATAAACAAATATAAATGTTACCAAAGCACAATTTATTGAATGAATAAAATAAGACCTTGCATGATTCATTTTACGTGATTTACTGATAAACACGTAAATAAACATTAATTATATTGTAGAACTGTGATTTAAGAGTCATGTTTGATAGAGTGAGGAATAAATCCTCTGGTGGCAGCGGAAAAGGGTGAGAAATAAATGTCATACCCGAATGTGAACCTGGGTTGTGTGGAAGAACAAACAGGGCAACTGGGGGTGTGCGACACTCATCATTTCATAAAAGTCATTAGTACTAATGAATGAATGCCAAATTTCCTGCATTTGAAATTGACTAAGTGTAAATATTTCCACATTCCACAGTGAGGGTGAAACTGAAGGTGCCCCAGTGGATTCAGTGAGAAGGAGTTGACCTCTTTTACAAGTAGAGGAATTAACAACCAAAACATAATCATTGCATGTTCTAAAATTAACCCCCTAGCAATTTTCTGAGATTTTTCCTTTCAAATTAAAAGAGGTAAAAACAAAAATGTAAAAATTGAGACAAGTGTTTGAATAAAAGTAGCTTCCAAATCTGGAACTTGATTGAATGCAGTACAGTGGTGCCTCGCTTAGCGACATTAATCCGTGCAGGAAAAAACATTGCTAAGCGATTTCATCGCTAAACGGAATTTAAAAACCCATGGAAACGCATTAAAACACCAGTAATGTGTTCCTATGGGCTTCAAAACTAACCTTAAAGCGAAGGTCCTCCATAGGGGTGGCCATTTTCGGTGCCTCTAAAGCGAGGACACACAGTGGGCGGCCATTTTGTTTACCCGGCAGCCATTTTGAAACCGTGATCAGCTGGCCGAAAATGGGGGCTTTGCGATGATCGCTTCCCTGCGATCATCGCAAAGCAAATTTTCCCCATAGGGACCATCACTAAGCGATCGCTTTTGCGACTGCTTAAACTCTGTCGCTAAGCGATTTCGTTGCTCAACGGAGCGATCGCTAAGCGAGGCACCACTGTATTTAAGCTGCATGTGAACTTTATTTTCTTCTAATAAAATATTTCAATTCAAG